ACAGACCTAAAAAACTTCCAACTACAGGTACTTGAAGGCACAGTCAGATGGTAAATTCCTGACTTGACTCAGTAGCTTTGGGAGGCTTTTTAAAGAGTCGAATCTGAAGTCCCCTAAAAAAGGTTGCAGCAAAGCCAATTAAATCAATTAGTATTCTTATGGGGCTTTGTGCAAATAACAGACCAAATTGAGACTAAACTTATTATTTTTTGCAGATAAGTTAGTAAATGCTTCTCTTTGGTAAAAGGGGGGATAGAGAGAGAGAAAAAAAAATGTTTCAGAAAAAAATTACAGTTCACTTGTTAGATTTTTAGCTCTGTCCATATTTGTTTTTTTGAGATTTTACTGTCTACCTACCTACTGTTTGAACAGAATCCTAACCTTTCTTCTGGCTTTAAGTCTTAAGCAAATTTTTTTAAACATTCTTTGATTTTGATTCATTAAAGATAAAACAGCTTGTCTTGAAAAAAATATAATAATAGCAAACTAAATAGTGCAGAAGGGTGGAGAATTGGGGGAAGAAAATCAAGAGAAAAAAAGGCAAAACACTTAACAGATACAAAATTTATATATTGTCTGCTGATGATAATGTGTATGGTAAGGTCTTTGGACTGATATGCAGTGTATTCAAGGTAGCAAAATTCATTTTGTATGCCATAAAGATATACAGTGAATAAATGTAGAAAAATAATAAAATAAAATTTAAAAAAGAAAACAATATACAAAATCACTAAAAATAAGCCGATTCTTTGACACTATCAATATAACTGATAAACATCTACTCAGACTTAAAAAAAAGACACAAATTATAATGTCAGAAATAAAAGACATCAATAATGACCACACATTAAATTAGTAACTATGGAATATACTACAGACTACTCAATGGTTAAAAATTCAAAACACAGGGATCAGCAGATGGCGTAGTGATCATGTCACTGAACTCCCACATAGTTGACCACAGTTCAAGTGCCAGACCCAGCAACTTGGAATTCACACTAGGCATGTGTGCATGCGTGCCCAGGGTCCCAGGTGGAGAATGAAAAAGGGAGGATTGTGGCATGACCATCCCCCCTGGGGGGTGATTTCTCACTTTGTGTCTCTCTCGGTCTCTCTGGTGAGTGCATATACCCTACGGCAAAAATCTCTCTTAAAAATAAATCAAAACATAAATGAGATACATCTTTTTTGAAAGACTCCAAAAATTACCAAAACTCACTCAAGAAGAATTAGATAACATGAATAGTTCTCTGTATGTTTTAAAAATTGAATTTGTAGTTTAATATCTTTCAGAAAAGAAAAATCTAGGCCTATATGTTTTCCTCATTGAATCTGACCAGGAATTTTAGAAAGAATTAATACCAATTCTATACATTCTCTCTTATCATATATAAGAGGAGAGAAAGTTACTTAAACATTTTATATGGTGAACATTACCCTGAAAACAAAACTAGGCAGTCATTACAAGAACACTATGGACCAATATCATCCCTTAAGAATATAGATGCAATAGTCCTCAACAAAATATTAACAAATTTAATTCAGAAATATATATAAATGAAAATACAGCATACTCACTTGAGATCAATCCCAGGAATGCAAGGCTAGTTCAATATTCAACCAGTCAATCAACAAAACTTATCACCTTAACAAACTAAATAGTAAAATACATATATTGATAGGTTGTCAGAAAAATCAAGATGCATTTTTTTGTAGAAAAAAAATATGTCATGACTTTTCCAACAACACAATGTATCAATATATGCAAGAAAATCATTTGAGAAAATTTAATATCTATTCACAATTTTGTAAATAAATAAAGTGGGGGTAGAAGGGAACTCTTTAACTTGGTAAAAAGCATTAAGCACATATAATTTCCCTGTCTCTCCCTGGTCAGTGCAGGTGCCCTCTGAAAAAATATTTTTAAGTCATTAAATTTATTTTGTATTATAGAATAAAATCCAATATTGGGATGAGTGCTCCTGATTTTTAATTTTTGCCAGGTGCATGTGCTCACTAGAGAGAGACAGGGAGAAAGAACGTAATAAAGCATCCTCCAGAGGAAATGGACATGTTGCAGTCCTGTCTCCTCCATCTCTCCCTCGATTTGAGATTTTGAGCATATACACACACATGCTCAGCTTGTTTTTTCAAGTCACTGAGTGTGGGACTCAAATAGCTCAAAGGTCCATTTGGAATTCAGTAATCTTAACCACCACACCAATGCTATTTTAAGCCTATATAGAAGATTAATATTCTTTATACAGAGTCTAGCAAGTGGCATAGTGATTAAGATGCAGGATTCCCACATGGTGTACTACAGTTTGAGTCCCAGACCTGGCAGTTTGCTTTCTCGCTTTCTCTCTTTCTTTGCGTCTCTCTCTGGTGAGTACACATGCCCTGTAGCAAATTTGCCCTGTAGCAAATTACACCAACTGTTGGTCCCACCCTGTAGCAAATTAAAATCATAATTATTATTATAAATAATATTAAACTAATAATTTTAAAGAATTATTTAATTGTACATTTAATTATACATTGAAACACAGTATTTTTCCATAGATGTTTCTTTTATATCTTTCCATATTTTCTTCTTTTTTCCTTTTTCCTTTTTTTTGCAAGAGAAGCAGGTGACAGGGCAATTTGCAGCAGGGTTACACCTTGTCACAGTCCAACTGTCCAGCCTCCCAGTTGGCAAGGACCACAGGCATGTGCTACCATGCCTAGTTTATTAAGGTTAGCCTGGGAATCGAACCTGAGCCTCCTATGCAGCCTCATCCTCCTTGTGCCACTGAGCTGGGTCTCTTAACATAATTTCTTAATTGTCCATTATGAAAATGTATTACTTATAAAAATAAGATATTTACCAAAAAAAGGACCAAATGAAGTACAATGGTAAAGGGCCGATATTTCAGAGCAGTGAGGAATGAGTTTACGGTAACACAGGGATTGATAGTTTGTTGAGAGTTTTGACCAAGTCTTGATTTATTCTTCCCAACGAGGAGCCATACGAAACTTTGAGAGAAGCTGTGGTCTTCCCTAGGACACTCCTGCACACCTCTCCACAATCTAGGCTATTCTATATGCAGCATTACCTGGCATGGCCCTATAAGTTCACAGACCCATTTGAGGTGCTCTCAGCACAGTCACATGATGGTTTCTCTTTTTCTCATTGTTTTGTAGCCGTGGCCAGTTGAAATGAACAATCAAACCTATGTCACTGAATTCATCCTCCTGGGATTTTCCAACCATTCCAACCTACAGGCCTTGTTCTTTTTGATCTTCCTGGTCATTTACCTGACAACTCTGCTGGGAAACATGCTCATAATTGCAGCCACCAGGGTCAGTCCTGCTCTTCACACTCCAATGTATTACTTCCTCAGCAACTTGAGCTTCTTGGACATCTGCTACACATCTACCACCGTTCCCGTCATGCTGGTGAACTTCTTCCGGGAGAAGAAGACCATCTCCTACGAGGGCTGCCTTTCCCAGGTCTTTTTCTTTGTGACATGCGCTGGCACTGAAGGTGTCTTATTGGCTGCTATGGCTTATGATCGCTATGTAGCCATCTGTCGCCCTCTTCAATATCCGGTTCTCATGAGCGTGACAGTGTGTGCGTACTTGGTGGCTGGGTCCTGGCTGTGTGGGCTGGTGAATTCTATGACACACACAGGGCTGACAGCCACACTCAGTCTGTGTGGGCCCAACCAGATCAGCCACTTTCTCTGTGAAGTCCCCTTACTCCTGAAGCTCTCCTGCTCAGACACCTCTGTCAACGAGTCTGTGCTCTACGTGGCCAGCGCCACCATTGGTCTGAGCCCCTGCCTGATTACAGTGGTGTCCTACATTCTCATCATCTCTGCCATCCTGAGGATTCCCTCTGCTGAGGGCCGGAGCAAGGCTTTCTCTACCTGTGCATCCCACCTCACTGTGGTGATTATCTTTTATGGAATGGCCAACTTCAATTATGACAGACCCAGAGAAGGCTATTCCTTGGACATGGACATCCTGGTCTCTGTGCTCTTCTGTATTGTGACCCCCATGTTGAACCCCATCATCTACAGCCTGAGAAATAAGGAGGTCAAAGGTGCCCTCAGGAAGCTGGCTGGCAGGTGTGTGTTTCCTGGCAATAACAGTGTCTAGAGAAATGCCTTCAAACGGGGGCATGCAATCACCTGAAAAATTTCTAAGGGGTTTGCAACAATAGATAGTTTTATAAAGTCTATATCCAGATTCTCATTTCCTATACACCAGCACCTAAAATGGGTCTTCCTCTCTTTTTTCACAGGTACCTTTTTGCTACTTTATAAAGTCAAGGTGTGTCAGATATTTTGTATTGGTCTCCAGCTCCATCTCTATCCATCTATTTTCTCCCCACATCACATGTTCAAAGGCCTAGAAATCTTATTTCCCAGATTCCCTTGCCAACAAGATTTCATTTTAGACTATTCCAGTAAGAGTCCAATGAGACATTAGAAAAAGACGGAATAAAGAAGAAATTGTCTTTGGCTGGTCCTGTAGCTCAGCAGTTAAGGGAGCTGGTCCCCATATGGTTTGAATCCTGGCCCCAGTTGGCTTGTAAATCATGCTAAGGAGCAGCAGGTGGTATGATGGTTAAGACACTGGATTCCTACATGGCCAACCACAGATTCAAGTCCTGGACCTGGAGGCTTGAAAATCACAACAAATAAATAAATAAATACATGCTTAAAAAATAAAAAGGAAAGAAAAACATCCTGACCACATGTGTGCCCATGCCCCTAATCCTGATGGTAAGAAAAAATGGAGAAAAAGAGATTGCAGCATGATCACACCCCATTGGGAGATGCTTACTCTCTTGCTCTCTGTCTCTCTCATGCTCTGGCAATTTGAAAAAAAAAAAAATCAGGTGGGACTGGATGTATGACCTGATGGAATTTGACTATATTGATGACATCAGAGCCAATGAAAAATGTGATAATTAATAGTGTGCAATAACAAAACAGATCATTACAATAGCCCAGAGAGTTGTTTAATCAACTATTATAGGGTGTTTCTGGAGCCATGTTCAGATTCATTATATCCTCATTGTATAGTATTAGTGAGGTGGGAGTACTGGTTATCAGACCCAACATCTGTGCTGGTTCTTATCCAATGCTCATGAAGAATTAGAGATGTGAGCACAGAGAGGAGATAGCAAAGTGGAGTTTATAAAAAGATGGAAGAACATAAGTTCCCAAACAGGGAAGGGTCCCGCATAGGTTGCTGAAGAGGAAGTGGCAACAAGGAGTTTTCATCTAGGGGTCTGAGCAATGGACTGGCCTTCTGATAAGAAAGTGGGCTTTAGAAAATAGTTATATAGTAGTCTGAGTAATTTATTAGCCCATTCTTTGTGAGTTCAGCAGACTTTAGCATTCTGTAGTTCTTATTAGAATATAGTTACTTGGGACCAGCAGTTAGTGTAATGGTTGTATCACTGAATTCCCATGTAGTCAACCACGGTTCGAGTCCCAGATCTGGTGGCTTAAACTCACACTGGGCGTGTGTGTGTGCATGCCCAAGATCCCGAGAGGAGAATGAAAGAGAAGGGATTGCAGGAGGAGCCATCCCCCCTGGGGGGTTATTTCTCACTTTCTGTCTCTCTGGCAACAGAAACTGTGGCCCTTAGCTATGGTGTTTGTTTGTTTATTTGTTGTTTGTTTGTTTTGAGTCCCAATGCAGCTAGCTTTTGGCTGGAAAACTTAACCATTATAACTCTATCTTGGGCCTGTACCCTGTCTGTGTGCTCATTATCTCTATCTCCTACCTTATTAGCAAGGAGTTACAAATTCTTTAGAGACATGTAAAAGAGGTGTCTTTTATACATTAACCAGACCATAGAGGAAAAACACAGAGACTTCATTAAGAAGAAAAACACAGTGGCTTCCTTTCAGGGCCCCCACCTTATCTACCTTTAAGTGGATGGAGTCTAACACCTATCTCATTAGCATGCTAGATGACACTCCCATCATGACAGTTTAGAGTAACCATGGCAATGACTAGACCTATCCTAAAAAGCCAGAAAATAAAGAGGGACAGTGATTCCAGAAAAGCTACTACCTTTTTCTCAGAAAAGTTATGAATAAACCACTCCCTAATTAGGCAGGCATCAAGCCAAGCCACATAACCCGACACCCAATGAAGTCTGTGACTGCCCTGCCTATGGAGAAGCCCTTCCAGCTTTCCCATCAAAGAACAGTTTGCTGCTTCCTCTCAGAGGAAGGAATGAAACATGCTGCTTCACCTGTAGAGTAGTCCACTATGTATACTTTCCTTAATAAATTTGCTTTCAGTCTACCTCAATGGTTCACTTTTGAATTTTTTTCTTGCATGGAGCCAAGGACCCTCACATCCTGGGTAGAGACTCCCACAAATGGAGTCTCTCCAGCAATACCAGCATCCTGGAATGGCTCTGTGATTGCTGTTCTTCGTAGGCTAGATTATACAGTGGGAACTATGATTACTAAATCAGGAAACCTAAATGCAATGAAAGTATTTGGATCTTGGGTGGCAGAGGTCAAGGTGTCAGCGTTCAACCACCAAAGGCAAGGTGAGTTTGGTTACTGTGATGGACAGCAGGGTCAAAGTAGCAATCAGAATAGTCTGACTTGTGCAGATCTATAATTCCGGCTAGTTAATCGTAGTGTCTCTAGCAGTGAAATAGACAGAAAGTCTCCCAAATGCTTACTTGATCTGTATAAGCAGAAAAGTTCTAGGTCAAGTGAACAAAACTCTAAAATGAATTATAAAAACAGAGTTGTGGCCCCTCAATCAAGTTCCAGACTTGATCCAGTTTAAAGACCGTGAATGGAGGTGAAGTTAAAGAACCCCAGTACACTGCCAAAATTTTTATATAGTTAAATATATACTACTAGACACTTATTGAACTAACACTGATTTCAGGTGACCCAAAACATTACTGTGGTCCATGAGTCAGTAGAGGCGCTTATGGAGGACAAGTGATTAATGAAGTTTTAGTCCACATCCATCTGACAGTGACCCCAGTGTGTTCCTGAACCCTTCTTGTTGTTATTTCCCCAGTTCTGGAATGTAAAATTGGAATAGATGTACTTAGCAGCTGGCAGAACCCGCACATTGGCTCCCTGGCCAGTGGAGTGAGGGTTATTATAGCAGGAATCCATTACTATAGAAAACATCTGACTTGTCTCTGCCTAGGGAATTAGTGAGCCAAAAGCAAGACTTCATTCTTGGAGGAAGTGCAGAGGTTACTGTCACCTTCAAGAATTTGAAAGATGCAAGGATGGTGATTCTTTGGACTTACTCATCCAACTTGCCTATTTGTTCTTTGCAGAAGATAGATTGAGGTAACATTTGGGTGTTACTCTGGCTCACTTACTGAGTGACCCAAAAAGCTGCCAGTTTTGAGTGAGGCCTGGAGTAAGAGAAGGCTCTGCAACAAGTCCAGGTTGCCATTCATGCTGTTCTGCCACTCAAACCATATGATGCAGCAGATCCAATGGTTCTTGAAGTGGAAGTGGCAGATAGAAACGCTGTTTGGAGTCTTTTCCAGGACATAACAGATAATGAAGATTATAGCAGCCATGTATAATTCCTTTCTTTTTTGCAATACATGTATATACACTAACTAGTAAATTTTTTTCCTTCTCAAAATTGCTGTTCTTTATAAAGGCTTTTGGTGAGTGCCTAACTTAATTATTATTATATTATTATTTGATTACAGGATATCTAGATAGAATTGTGACTAAACCAGGAACAGAAAGAAGAAGAGAAAAAGAGAGAGAGAGAGAGAGATATGGAGAGAGAGAGAAATATATGACTGGTGAGTCTTGGGACTCTGTTTTGGAAAGTGATAGAATATGTCTTTGTGTGAGGAACAATTGTTTTATGTTAAGTAGAAGTACTACATTATTATTGTTTAGAAATTTAAGTTGGAGTTTAAGAATGTATGCATATGCAGATAAGCCAAAGGGATAAATTACACACAGATCTGTATGTTAGTAATCTGCATCATTGTCACCATTCTGTGCTTTCCTCTGAATCATAGTCTGAAATTACAGTTCTCAATACTCCCTTGCTAAAAGAGTTCTAGGATAACTTCAGCCTTTGGAAATGTAAATGCCAATTTTGAAATCGGAAGGGAGGGAAATAAACTTTTGTCTGACCCTGACAGTGATAATAACTGTAGACTATAACACAGTTCTTGCAGTGATCTTAACTACAAAGATGAAATCAAATGAGCTTTGGCAAAGATGAAAGCATCTTACATTTCTTGATCTCTTGGATAATACCCTTTCCTTCCCACTTGCGTTCTGTCAACATTCTCAAAATTTGTAGACTTAAAATCTCTGTAACAAATGCGGGACCAGCAGGTGGCATGGTGGTTAAAGTGCTGGACACTCCCACATGGCTGACCAGTGTTCAAGTCCCTGGACCTGGTGGCTTGCTTTCTCACTTTCCCTTTCTCTATCTCTGTCTCTCTCTGGTCAAATTTGTTAAAAAAATGAATGAATAAATAAAAATAAATAAATAAAATTTTTAAAAATCTCTGTAACAAAAGTTTTTCTTTTTTCTTTTTTTAATTATTTCTATTTTTATTTGCCAGGTGGCATATGTGGTCTCCAGAAAGAGACAGAGAAAAGCATCACCCCATCATGGGACATGATCAAACATAATTCCATCTCCTCTCTTTCTCCATCCAATTAGAACTTGGGACAAACACACGTACCCAGCATGTTTTTCAGGTAACAAGGCTGCAGATTCAAATCATGGTCTGCCATATGGGATGCAGTTTTATTAACCACTAGGCAACAGGGCTGACCCTGTATTAAATGTCTTTCTATTTAAAATATCAAGAGAATCTTCTGTTTTCCTCACTGAACCCTGAGTAGGCCTTTCATAAAAGGCCTCATATAAAAGGTCTATTCTGACTATTTCTAAATATTACTATGTTATATTATCCTCAGAGTGTAGAAACCTCTTTAGATTATAGTAAAAGAAACAGACTTATTGATAACAATGACAGAAATACCATTAAATAATTGAGGACCAAATTCTTTAGGGAATTAAATAGTTCCTAGTTCTCAGCTTTCAACAAAATTGGAAGACCTAGTTTAGCAGTCAGCTGATAGATTACATTTATATTTACTCAGATATTTACTATTTCTGATGACTTTCACTATTTCTTAAAGATTAAAAATTTCATATAGGTATCATTTCCCTTGAGCCTGAAGAAACTTGTTTAGTATTTCCTGTGATACAATTGTTCTAGCAACATATTCTCTTAGTTTTCTTTTATCTAAAATTGCCTTTATTTTACCTTGATTCCAGAATATATTTGGTAAATACGGAATTATAGGTTGACAACCTTTTTCTTTCACCAACTTTAAAAATGTTCCACCATCTTCTGACCTATATTGTTTACAATAAAAAAAGAAAGTTGATAAAAATACAAATTTTGTTGGTGCCCTGGCTATAATGGGTCATTATTTTTTAAAGAATTATTTTATTTAACTTTATTTATTATTATTATTATCATTATTATTTTCCAGTTTTATCAGAAAGAGACAGAGAGAAAGAGGAAGTGAGAAAGCAAGCCACCAGGTCCGAGACTTGAACAATGGTAGGCCATGTGGGAGTCCAGCACCTTTAACCACCATGCCACTTGCCGGCCCCAGTCATTATTTTTTAATTGCTTCAGAGGTATTCTCTTTATCTGTGCTTTTCATTTCCATTGTATTTATCTTGCTTGAAATTTACTAAAATTCTTTTTTATTTTATTCATGATAGCACATGCATGCTCATGAGCAAGAGAATGAGAGATAGATAAATCCTTGATGGGGTCTCATTACTGTTACTCTGCAATCTCCTTCTCCCAACCCTCCAGCTCATCAGGCTTCAAGGCACATGTATGCATATCCATGTGTTTTAGTTTGACTGGGCCAGGGATCTGAACCTGTGGACAGACATATGGTTTACAGCACTGCAGTTCACTACACTACCAACTGAGCCACCAAAGCTGGGTCAAAATTCGCTGAAATTCACCAAATTTGGAAAGTTTTGGTCATTATATACTTTTTATACTTTTACCTCACATTTGGTCTTTTCTTGCCATTTAAAATCCTCTCTCTCTCCTCCACACAAATATACACACACACACGTCTCCAAAAACTTCATGGAAAATGTGTATTGTGTAAAAATTATGTGTGGATTTGAAAGTGTTTTGTAGAGGACCAGCAGTTAGCGTAATGGCTATGTTGCTGGACTCCCATGTAGTCAACCACAGTTCAAGTCCTGGACCCGGTGGCTTAAACTCACACCGGGCGCGTGTGCATGCGTGCCCAAGATCCCTAGAGGAGAATGGAGGAGAAGGGATTGCGACATGGCCATCCCCCCGGGGGGTGATTTCTTGCTTTCTGTCTCTCTGTCTCTGTCTGTTTGGCAAGTGCACGCGCCCTATAGCAAAAACCTCTCCCCCCGAAAAAGAAAGTGTTTTGTACAAAAATAACATTATACTTTAACTCCATCTTTCTACAAAATTTGAAGTTCCCTCATGTGTACGTGTGTGTGTGTGTGTGTGTGTGTGAGTGTGTGTGTGTATGTTAGACCATTTGATATTACCTTGGAGATACTTGCAGCTCTGTTTATTTTTTTATAATTTTCTTCCTCTTGACTTTTCAGCTTGGATAATTTGAAGCTTTTCTTCTGTAATTCCCAAATTCCCATTTTTCTCATTTTTCTTTCTTTTTTCTTTTTTCTCAGAGGGCATGTGCGCTCACCAGAGAAAGATAGAAAAACATGGAGAGAGGAAGAGGGGAGAGCACCTGCCATGCAGAATGGTCATGCCATAATCTGTTCTCCCCCATCTCTCCCTTCTTTCAGGATTTTGGGCACACATACCCACATGTCCAATGTGTTTCTCAAGGTGCCAGGTCTGGGGCTCAAACCACATGGTTGGTCATGCGGAATCCTGCTGCCTTAACCACCAGGTCATAGAGTTGACCCCAGTGATTTTCCTTAAGTGTTACATCTTTCAGTTCTTGAATTTCATTTGCTTTCAAAAACCTACCTTCTATTTTTCTCCTGCACTTTTCTTGTTCTAGTCCATTCTGTTACTGGTATCAGAAATGCCTGAGTCTGAATAATTTAAGCAAATAGAAGTTTATTTTAGCTCATAGTTTTGGAGACCTAAGGTCAAAGGGCCACATCTGGTGAGCGTTTTCTTGCTGTTGGATCATATGAAGCAGAACAGGAGCACACATATCTATGCTTGTGTATCTCTGTCTCATTCTCTCTCCTTATATATCCACCAGTATTAAGTTATGGGGACCCTACCCTGATGCCTAATCATATCCCAAAAGTCCTATCTTTTAACACCAGAGTCAAATTAAGTTTCTTCTCAGCACCTTCACAATACAATCAAGTTCTAGTACGTGAAATTTTGGGGGATACATTCAAACTATAGTCCTTCTTATCTTTTCATTCATTATGAGTATATTTCTCTTTATGTCATTGAGTATAATCATAAGAGTTGCTTTAAAATTCTCATTGGCTAAGTCCAACATTGGATCATCTCAGGGTTAGTTTTTTCTTGATAATGGGTTACACACTACTATTTCTTCGTATGTTTAGTAATTCTGGTTCATCTTGAATATTGTATTATATTGTGGAGACTCTTAATTTTTTATGTATATATTCCCCTGTAGGGTGTTGATTTTTGTTGTTGTTGTCGTTCTTGCTGGTTTAGCAGAAAATTACCATGGTTTGATTCAAACTGTAAATTCTGTCTTTTGGCAGCAGCTCAAATATCAATTAAGTTCTTTTATTTTTAGTTAAGCTCTTGGACTCTTGCCTGCACAAAGTGGAGTTTACACACAGAATCTTAAGACGCCTCCTGTCCTCTCTCTTTTCCAGGATTCTTCTCTCACTTTCTAATGACCGTAGTTATTCTTAACTCTACAGGCCAGAAAGGCTATGGGTTTTCTGTCAGAATTTTAGCCATCCCAAATAGTGACAAGTGAAGTTTGTTCGCAGGTTGAAAATTGTAAAAAGTAAAATATAAGGGACCAGCAGTTGGTGTAACGGCTATGTTGCTGGACTCCCATGTAGTTGACCACAGTTCGATCCCTAACCCAGG